AGAGCAGTTGACTCGGCAGGGCAAGGTGGGACAAAGAATTATAGAAGTATAGCATTTAGTTAAACTGGTTATGCTATGCAAGTGCTGAGATGCCAGTGTTGCAGTGAGATTTGCCTGAGGGTTCAAATGAAAAGCTAATTTTGAAGAGAGACAATGATTTGTTGAAGAGGACACAGCATATCTGAGGTCAGAAAAGTGGCTCATTTATTTATCAAGTAGTTACTGAACATCTGCTATAGGCCAAGCACTGTTGATACAGAACAAAATGGATACAACATATGATTTCATGGAGTTATAGTTTAGCAGGTGGGTCAGATGTTAAACAAACATACTATTATAATCTTACTACATGTAATAAGTTATTAAGAGAGAACAGAAGAACCTTAATTTAACTCTGAAATCAGGGTGCCCTCTCTGAGGCAGCTGAGACCTGAGTGAAGAACAGGAATTAGCTAGAAAAGGGCAGGCAAGCAGAACATGTCAGACAGCTGCCCATGGAAAAGTTGTGAATTGGGATGAAGTTGGTTACTTTGAAGAAATGGAAATGGGCTGACAAGGCTTAAGATAGAGGTCACAGAGTGAGAGGAGATGTTGAAATTCCATCGCAATTGCAATGAGAAGTCATTGAAGGGTTTCAGCTGGAACGTAACATCATTCATATCTTTAAAACTATTACCCTGGCTACTGTGTGGAGACCAAACCAGAGGGAGGCAAGCATGGAGGTGGTAAGTGGTTAGAAAGCTTCTGTCCAAGAAGCTGCTGGGGCCGGGCCTAAGACGGCAGGATGCATGTGGGGGCAGGGGCCGACTGCAGTCTCCCCTGGAGATAGATAGGTCAGTAGGATCCAGTGAAGGACTGGATGTGTGAGGATGACACACAGATGTTCCAGCTCAAGCAACTCGGAGACTAGAGGTGTCATCTGTTAAGATGGCAAGAATGGCTGAGGTACAGACTGAGGGTGGGAGTTACAGTTGGAGAGAAGCGTTCCAGGAGTACATTAAGCTAGAGGTGTCTTTCAAAGTGGAAGTGGAAATTGTGTATAGACACGAACATATCTAAACTGCAGGTGACTGCATATCACCTAGGAATAGATGAAATCACCCAGGGAGGGTACAAAATGAGAAACGTCCCACTGAACTATAATTTGGGGTAAAAAGAAATGGTGGACTAGCTAAGTGCATTAAAAGATCGGAGTGATTCAAGATGAAGGAATCTGTCAACAGTGTGGAATATTGCTTAGAAAGGTGAGCAGCTCTCAATGTGTGTTTTGGATTTGGCAACATGAAATCACAAACAAAGTCAGCAAGAATGGTTTTGAAGTAGACAGAAGCTAGCTTGGACTGGATTGAGCAGACAGCAGAGATGGGTGGGGAGAGTGACATCCTCCACAATGCTGGCTCTGGAGGAGGAGGAGCGGATGGGTGGAGCCTGCTCCTGAAACAGAAGAGGTGACCTCCTAGTGTTTTACCCAGGCCAATGTGCTCCATATTGGCAGTTGAGATGGTTTCCAAACCCTCGAGCCTGGGCTCACCAGAAGTCCTGTACGGCTCTAGAAGAAACGCATGTGGGTTCAGAGACTGAAGAACCTGTGGGTGTTGCTCCCTCTTCCTCTGACACTAGCTTCACGTCATCCATCCACGCACACAAGCCCCACTCCTTGTTCAAACCTCATCCAGGATATCTCTTGGCTGTCGTACTTTAGCGTTAGCAACAACAAAAAGGTCTCATGCCTCTACCAAAAGGCTCCCAGGTGCCCTAGAGGGTTGAAGAAGGTAGAAAGAACCTGCTGACTTCAATCCTGTCTTTTCCAGACCACAAGTGCTAGGCCTTCCCACCAGCCTACGTTTTGGACCTCATCCCCCACATGAAAGCTCCACTGCAGGTGACCTCTGCCCCTGGGAAGACCTACTATCTCCCTACCTCCATTCATTTACTGGTTTCCCCCTTCAGAATTAGGTGCTCCTCCTTGCCTAGCTGAATCTCATGCTGGTGTCCAGCATGAGTCCGTACAGTTCTAGAAAACCCTGCATGATCTCCTCCTCTTTCTCAAGCATTTTCCCCAGATTGATGGCTTTCTCAGCATATTTCACACCCCCAATGAGGAACAGAGAAGCTGCTGCACATTCTTTTGTCCTTGCTGACACCTGTACAATGAAGGCCCTGGTAAATTTGTCTGTTGATGGGTTCATTGAGAAAAAGCTGTGGACCTTCCTCCCCGAAGGATGAAGGTTTGGAGCAGTCTCATTAGGGATGCACTGGAAGGGTTTGCTGTGGCCAAATGAGAAATAAATAGGTGCCCAGGTATTCACTAACCTGACTTCTATAGACTCCTTTGAGGAAGTTCCAAGTCACTTGAGATCAAGTTCAATTATGCTCTGGCTATTATGATCTATTTCAAATATTCCTTTAGACACCAACCCCTTCTTGGAAATGTTGAAAATTTAAAGCACAAAAGCAAAGTTTCCTTTTAAGCCTCTGGGTAGAGATTTCTTGTCATTTGAAGTTGTGGGTTTCCTCTGGCAAAGTCTCTTTTAAAATATTGAAAAGGCAGCTTTCTCACCTATGCCCTCTCCCCAAATCATGCTTCATATAACACAGGTAACACATAGAAGTGAAAGTTCAGCCTGTATTTTTTTTTTTCACTCAAGGTATTGGCTAAAGTAGATAAAGAGCTGAAACCTAGGTAAAGAACTATAACATTCATGCAAGGGAATTTTCCCAGTTTTCAAGGTATAAGCATTTGGTGGAAATTGGTTCCATCAAATTTGGGGTCCAAAAAGGTGTTACACACAGAATAATTATAACAAGCATGGTCAGGTAAACTCTGGACATGAACTATCATAAAAAGTTTATGATTACTTAGGGTCTATTTTGCTCTTCTGAAACCAAGAATCTTAAACTAATGAAAGTGGCAATTTAAAGGCAAAACTTTTTTCTAAATCCCAAAGGCAATAATTAGCAAGGAAGGGTTAGGGAACAGGTGTCTTCCCAGTGCCAGCACCAATTCACACCCATTAAAGTTGATTCTCCTATAGATACACTCCTATAGATTCAAGGAGGTTCAACCAGCATGTCTGATTATAGCTTAATTCAGGCCCTCTGGAGGCAGAATGTATTTTCTTTCATGAAAAGAATTATTCAGTTATTTGCTTTTGATTTCCTGATTTACTGGAGAGGTGAGGCAACAGAGTGCCCTAGCTGTGCTGTCTCAGGGAAAGTCAGATGGTTCCTGCTGTCTCTCCTGGCCTCCTTTACAGAGGCCCGGGCTGCAATTACTGCCCCCCTCCTCGGCAAGGCTGTACACTGCCATCAGAGCCAGGCCAGGGAGACACAAGAGAGGGTGCCCTTGCCCTCTCTGGGGCTTTCTCTAACTTGGCTGGAAATAACAGGTTTCTAAACAAACATCCTGGATTCAGATATAATCATTTTTTTGAAGGGTGTGTCTGTTTTGAAATGGTGTGATGCACCCAAAACTTTACTTCACCCATTTCTCACATGCAGTTACCTTCCAATAAGATAAGAACAGTGTGCAGAGGTTAGAGGACACCAGACTCTCATGTCTTCACTAAGAGTGAGCTGGCTCCAGGACTGAACTTTTATGCTTAAAAAGTTCATACCCTTGGGGGCAGGGTTGAGGATGGCTGGGAGAGGAAATATAATGACATGTCAAAATTCTTTTTAGCACCTATGGCTAGTGCCAACGACTAGCTCTCAGAGTGTAATAAAAAGGCTTCAAACTGCTGCTAAAAAGATGGTTTGACCTATGAAATTGGAAACTCCCCCACCCCTTATCCATACCCAATAAATGAAACTCGGGAGTTCTAGAGTTTTAGATTAATAAATGAAGTTGAATTTCCAGAAAAGGGTTTCCCTATAGACTGTAGGCTAATTAGGGAGGGGGGTTCCAGACCTACATAATAACTGCAAGGTAGAATGCAGGCCACAAGCATTTTAGCCACTGCAGTTGCCAACTACTTAGTCTATTCTGAAAAGAGGATGGCAGGGTGTTAAGAAAATTTAGTAAATAAAAGTCCTGGACGCGACTGCCCGCAGCCTGCAGTTCCGGCCAGGCTGTCGGCCCCTGGCGGCCGAGAAGCCCACAGGACCTGGAGGTTTGCACCAAAGCGGCTAAGGCCGGTGCGCGGCGAGCGGTGCTGCTGAAAGAAGTTGGAGAGCTCCCAGCTCGCCGACTGGATTCCGAGGTGGGCGTTCGGGAATCCCTCCCAGTGCCGCGATTAGTAAAGTTTTGGAGAAAGTAAAGACCCTAGAAAGACAGGACACCCAGACATTGCTTGAACGTATGTAACACACTGCGCTGCCCTGCCAGAGGCCACCAGCACTGGACCCTGAGCCCTGCCCTATTTAGTAGGGCTGCGCCCTGCTCCCCACCATCCCTCAGGGCCTGGAGTCAGAGGCGGTTCAGCCAGGTCGGTGGTTCCGAAGGAAAAAGCTTCCAGGCTTCCAGGCCTGGAGAATAAAGTCTCAGATTCAAAATAAGAGGAACCAAGGACAGAACCACCAAGTCCCGCCCGAACAACCAGGATCTTCTCCCCGCAAGCCCGCTCGGGTTTCTCCAAAGGACGCACGGCACAGCCCAGGCGCCCCGTGCACTCCACCCCACTCCTCTGCCTACATATTCCCCCAAACTCTTCCTGGGAAGCCCACAAAGCACAGACGGCGCCCCGAAACTCACAGGGCACTCGCCAGCCACCTCCACCTTCGACTCTGCATCTCTCCTGGCCGCGTCCTGCCCGCCCGCACCGTCCTCCCCACGTTTATGGAAAGTCAGAAGCAAACCACGAGAAAATGCTTGCGAGGAGCCTCCCTACACCCGCCCTGTCACTGAAACAAAAGGGTAGGGAGGAGGGAGGTGGAAGAGGAGGCGGGAGGAAGGTTTAGAAAGAGGATGGGGAGAGCGGTAAGAAGGAGCTGGGAGGAGGGTCGGGGTGGGGAAAAGAGAAGGGGACCCCGCTCCCGCCGCCGCGCCGCCGGTTGCTTACATGCCCAGGTCGCTGTAGGTGTTGAAGAACTCCATCTGGTTGCACGCCTGGATCCAGCCTACCACCCAGGTCTCGTGGCGGGGGATGGGGGGCATGACCACGCGGGCCGAGGCTTTGAAGTAAGGGGTCTTGTAGCGCAGGACGATGGGCGAGGTCTCCTCGATGCGCGTGGGGCACTGGTCGATGGTGGCGCACACATCGTACACCACTATGTTCTCCCGCCGGATCCGCGCCTTGCAGGTGATGCTTTGGATACAGCCCATCCTGCCTCCCGGCGCCGGCGCGGC